TAATTAATTGGATTAATTAATTCATGGACCGAACTTAATTAAATGTGTTAACTAAATAGAGGAAATTACATTGTCCCCGGTGTTTTAACTTTACAGTGCAAAATTTTGGTATGAAGTTTTGTTATTCACAAATTTGGGATGAATATGATAATTAAATATCTCTTCCAACCCTAATCATTTCAATTCACCCTCTCTCTCAACTGTCGATTTGTCTCTCACGTAGCTCATCATCGGTGACCACCGCAACCTCGTCACTCGATGAAGGCGATGACGCTGCTGCAACACTCCGTGAGTGACGGTGTCGCCGTCGTGGCCAAGGACGAGTGTTTGCTTTCTCTGTCTCTCATGTCTCTCCTCATCGGAGACCACCGCAGGTTGCCGCGGGACGATGACGCCTCTGTAAACATGAGCGATGATGTCACCGTCGTCGCCGACGAGGAGGACGAATGCCGTTGTAGCTGGATCTGACCCATTTTGCTTCTTCGGTCTGTGTGGCTGCTTTTGCTTGTGCAATTGTGTGGATCTGAAGACTGTAGTGCCTTGAACACGTTGACAGCAATGAAGATGGTGGTGGATTGGACGGTGTTTTGTGTGGTGGTGAATTGGTGATGGAGGTTTTTGTGGTAGCGGCTGTGGTGGTGAATTTGGCGATTTGGGTGTGGTTTGGACGGTGTTTTGTGTGGCAGTGGTGATGGTGTTTTGTGGTGGAGGTTTTGTTGTGGCAGCTATGGTGGTTGTGATGTTGGTTGGTGGAGGTAACCAACGTGACTTGGTGGTGGTGGTTGAGGTCGGGATGGTATTTGTGACCAAGGTTGCGATGGATCGAAGTCGGTGTATGTTGTCTGTGACCAGCTATTTTTTCCACCTGTGACGAACTAGTAATCTGTGATATTGAAATTCGATCATTTTGTGACTAAAAAAGTTATCTTTGACCGTCAAATTTGAAAATATGTGACCTGTGTTCTATAATTTTTTTATTTGTGATCTATCAAAATTTTGATTTATTTGACCACTATTTGACTTATGTGACCATCTGTGACCAAATATTTAACTATCATTAACAAATTTAAAAATATGTTATCTATAAATTTTTAGATCTATGACCACCGAAATAAATTGTGACTTATAAATTTTTAGATCTGTGACCATCGAAATAATCTGTGATCTATAAAAAAATTTATTTGTTAACCTCCAAATAATCTGTGACTAATTAATTTTTAATGATTTGTGACTAATAAATAAATTGTGACCTAAAATTTTGTATCTGTGACTATTAGTTCTATAACTGTGATCTTATTACATTTAATTAATAAAATATTTTTAATTAATAAATAAATACCTGATTTTTGCACTTTTAAACTTAGAACTTGAAAATTGAATTGGTGTAAACAATACACATGAATTATGAATTTTTTCCAATTAAATATTGGATCGGGTTAGGCTAAGCTCATTTGGACTTATATAAATAAGTAGTTAGGGTTTACAGTTTTGTAGAGAAATCATTCTTGCTAGCACAAGAGGAGAAAACCTGGTGCCTACAATCTTGTTCTTTGTGTGGAATTTCATTGGAGGCTGGACAATTGGATAGCTGTGGATGACAAATCAAGGTTGATGGAATAAAGAAAAAGTAAAGGAGTTTGCAGATCTATAAAAAGGTATAACTTTTATCACAATTTCTATATAAACACAAAAAATATCGTTGGTGAAAATTGAAATTTGTTTTTATTTTCGCTATGCATAATAAGTAAATTCCCAACATTAATTTAATTAATCAATTACCCCTTTTGCACATGTAACATAATTCATACTCAATATGAATAAGTTTCAAATGCACTTTTATGAATAAATAGAAAGGAACATGCGAGAATTATTTTCAAAATGAGGCATTATAATTTTGCTTGTGTCTGAGCCCCATTTTCTTCCATTACCTCCCATTTTCTTCAGTCAAAAATAGATGGCCAGCGGGACCCACGTTGTTAGTGCATGGATTGATCCTGACACATAGGGTTGAAAATGTTGAATTCCAAAATTGAAGACAGTCACAATTTCATACATTGACATTACTGCCCCTCTACTGAAAACATGTCGTTTCACACATGAGAATAAGACGAAAAATTGTTATGTCAATCTACGTTAGCATAGAATTCATTTTTGGGCGTGCGTTTGAAGAAAATAATATTTTTACGTTCATTGCATCGAAACAAATTCACACATTACAATATTCATTCCAGTGGTAATTTACGTTTTCATACCGGCTTCCAACAATAAGGTAGCGTTGACCTAGTCAACGTATGGTATGCGCTATGTAATCTCGTAACTGGGTCCACAACACATTCTCGTCTGCAACGACATCCTCTTCCGCTGCAGCCTCGTCTTCCTCATCGGGTAACTCAACCTCAACTTTTTCATCGTCAACTTCCTCGGCCTTGCGGAATCCTTCATCGAGCTGTCCGTTGCGTCGCAGAAAATTATGGACTCTCATTGCTGCCACGACCACAGCGATTTGGGCTCGATATGAATGACTAGGCATCCTGTCTAGAATTTTCCATCTTTGCTTCCAAACTTCGAATGCACGCTCAATAATGTTTCGACATGATGAGTGATGAAAGTTGAACCTCTCGCGTGCATTACGAAATCGACTTTTGCCGCCACCATGATCGTGAAATTCTTGGAAGTGATAACGTACATCCGACCCCTTGTACAGTGCCATGTACCCCGGCTGATGTGCAAATCCAGAGTCCACCAAGTAATATTTCCCATCAGTCGGTTTCAGAAAGTGTATGTCCGGACTATGCACCGCGCGGGCTAATATGCGGCTGTCATGCGTGGGGCCCATGCTTCCCGGCAACACAAATGTGAAGCACAAGTTGAAATCGCAAGCGGCCAAGACGTTCTGAGTGGGCACCCTTTGTCGTCCTATGAAGTTAATTCTTTTACGTCGTGGCAACACCGCCCGCACATGGGTCCTGTCGATAGCTCCAATTCAATCCTGCGACGTCCATTTCAAACCACGTCAAATACTCGAATAAATTATGGCACAATTAATTTGACCACCGAGATAACGTGCGGCAACATAAACGTACCTGGAACAACGGATATCCCTGCGGATCGGGGTGACAACTTGCAGTGCCACAGTTGTAGTTTTCATGAGGCCGGATCATGTCTGTTGCCAGCGCACCGACGACACGAAGCACGCGCTTAAAATAATGGCCGACGGTCTGCAGCGAATATCCAAACAGCATTTGCACTTAGCAATATCCCTTCCCGTGCACCATTATACACAAAAACATTCCGACCTGCTCTTATATATCGATGCTCGTACTGTTTTCCAATCCGTAGCGATCTCTGAAAACATGTACAAAGTGCCTAAACATGGGCGGGTACATTCTAAACTCTTGAAAGCACGTTTGCGGGTACACATGCATATTCTACAACATGAAGATATGGCCGCTTCGTGTTGTAGGAAATAAGTAACGGTGGGCTAGATCCGGTACGAGGTACTGGCATACCATCCGCTCAGCGATACGACAGTACTGTAGCCACACCACCATATTTGTCTCCAACTGTTGCAGTACGTCTTCATCTGATTCGTCGTCCGAACAAGAGTTTGACACGAGGTCACAATCGGTCTCCGATGATGTATGCGAACCAGACGTGTATGTCATCTCCTAAAACCGATAGCACGACACACAAATATATTCACTGTACTCCTCAGCGTCAAATTGCCATTGTGATTGGGATGATATTTGCGTAACCCGTTACTTCGCCAATTAGGGGAATAACCTTCTTATAGCAGGAGCCTTTGCAATGCATGCATCAATATTGTACAGTTAGTGCTGACAATTATTGATTCCATTAGCAGGCCTGTAGAAGGTGCACTGACTAGGTGATATATGCATTGTATCACGCGGGAAATCTTCGCTTCGACAGAGCTATTGACATTTTTCAAACTGTCAGGAGTTGGATTCCAATCTTCACGTAATAATGGAGTCTATGGGACCAAATTGCTTATATGCAAAGATTTGGCTCTTCCTAAACTATAGACGTGTTTAATAGTTATATGTAGTACACGGACATACTGTCGATAATTATGGAATCTACGTGAGCGCGTTTTATGTGGAAAAGCATTTGCTTTTCTAGAGTCATTGACGTTTTGCAAACGTGTCAGAGTAGGAAGACAGCGTTTAGGTAGTGATGGATTATGTGGTATGCAATTATTTAAGTCCAAATTTTTGTATCTTCCCTAACCAATGACATCACATCAAGCTAATAGGGGTAGAATTATTTACTTTACTTAATAATTGAGTCCCCGGGATGGATATCTTTCTCTATCACTTGTTGCTTCCTTACAGCTATGAGGCTATTTTTCTATGTTGCTGGAGTAGATTTGAAACATTTAAAAAAAAAATTGTGTCCTTGCTACACAATTATTCAAGTTTATAGTGTTTCCTGTTCCAGCAGTAATAGAATTGTTAAACATTGTAGGAATATACATTAGTGACACTACGTAATAGTTGTGTATGTGGCCACGACATGTTTCTGCCCGAATTTTTCATTTTACGAGAGCTATTGTCAGCCTTTACGTCATTCTCGGGTACACGGGAAAGAAATAGTTCTTGACATGCATGAAAATGAGTCACATGCACCTATTTTCATTACATTCAACAATACGAAATACATAGCGCACAGTGTAGTGCGCGAAACGTGCAAAAAGGAAGTCGAACAACAAAGTATTATTACAACAAGCGGTACGGATGATAACTTAAAAAGCGTACAAACGGACTCAAACTAACGACACATGCAGTTGAAGCACAATCAGCGACTCCTAGAACCCAGCATTTTGTCGCGTTCAAAACAATATGCGATCCACTTGTAGCGCATCTCCGGCGTTTTAGCTGCACTGTACGCAACACGATTTTTGAAATTTCTTAGGAACCACAACGCGAACATGTGCAACTCATCCCCGACTTCGACAAGCCCAATCGAAAGCAAATCATTTATCATTCGTGGAGAGTCATACGCCCATCTTCTTTTGCGCGAATCACAGAGGCCATCTCCCTCGATGCGTAAGCGAGGTTGTCCACCGACTCAGAAACCTCCCTTGCCCTGAACTTCTTCCACTTCCCCTTCGCATGTTTTCCCTTAAGTTTCTCGCCGCTTCGACGCAGAGAGATATTCATCGAGAAGCTCGCTTTTCCTAGAGTCGGGTCGTTGCTCGAATTAGTCGTCTCGGCATTAATAGGTAACGTGTCGTTCGGATCATCTGAGTCGGAGTTGGCGCCCAAGTCAAACCCATGTTAAGACAGCTTCGTGGGTGTCAGTGCGTACTTCATGGAGTCACAACTACCTCCAAACAGACGGCTATATTTATGGTAGATCTCCGTGTTGTCATTGTCCTTGAACTTTCCGTACCGAGGGTTCTCCTGCAATGAAACATGGGAACATTAGTACAGTGTTATGGAGTTGTTCACATGTAAAACTGTTTCCAAGAAAGCTAGTGTAACTCAAGATTGTTGACATGTGGTTACCTTAATTTTCTACTTCCACCACCATTCCGGAGCGTCAATTCTGCCCCCGGTGCTCAGACCACAAGCTATTCCCGTGCACTGGAGAAGCTCAAACAGTAGTTTGTGGTCCGTGCTCATAGCACCCTAATGGTTTTCAACTGTGCCATAGTCCAGTTCTTCCCAGCATTTTTGTTGAACAATTCGCGTAATCGCTCCCATCCTGTTGAAGAGAAGCACTTTCCATGACGGTGTCCTCTGCAGTGACGTGTTCGACGGCGGACATCAAGATCTTCTACTCTCGAGGTTCCCATCTAGCACACTTGCGGGCCTCCGACTTGTTTTCCAGGTTAGGGTTCGATGATGCGGCAGGCATGGCGTCCGGATTTTGTGTCGTGTAAATCTGCGAAAATGTTGCACATCATAGTTGTAAGAGCTTGTGAGAAAAGAAAAATGCAGTGCAAAGGTGTCAATGAAATGGTCGTGTGGCAGCTCTTCAGATTAGTGTAATAATTTAATTGTAAAGCTCAACTAATTTCTTGCAATATGAGCTTGAATGCCATAACTGTATATAAAAGATCGTGAAGCCATAAATGGATACTCGGTAATACTTATGTTAATAGGAAAGGCTGATATATTGTGAATTCTTAAACAATGTTGTGTACTGCAAAATGAACTTTTCGCACACATATAAATGCAAATTAATACTAACAATTCCAATCATGCAATCAAGTTCTAACTTTATGAACTTTTTGAAAGCATTAGAGAAATGAAATTGGCACTTGGTAGGGAATAAGGATGGATATCATGAGCTCCATGACTGCTACAGTTCTTGTTTTTGTAAAAGTTTGTTTGTCCAGGAAAATGAATAGGAGACCAACCTGCAGCACAATTTTGCCACGTCACCATCAGCACCTAATCCTAAGGACCATCAAAGGATGATAAGATTTTCAGACTTTGAAAAGAAAGAAGCGTGATCAATATGTCTTGTAATATTAAGAGGAAAATCTATAGGACCGATGTTATATTAGACAAAAGTTGGGCTATCAGAACACATACATAATTTAAGAGTGACATAGGGTGATGCAAGAAGAGCATTGATATAGCCAACCCCGAATAAGTATTGAACTAGGCTTTGTTGAGTTTAATTGAGTAGGTAAATGCTTGAAAAATTTTCCTCTCTTTAGGGATTAGGATGAGATTGATTAAAACAAACTTCAAAACTACAGGTAAAGTCAATCAGAAGCAACTGGTACAGAAAGATATGCAAAGGTGTCAATGAAATGGTCATGTGGTAGCTCTTCAAATTTTAGGTTTCAAAGAATCCTATGCAGACATTCTAACATTATTTCACTCATATCGGCGTGTTGGATTCCTTAAAATGCCAATTTGAACTAGACACCAGAACCCTTAAGATTGTATTCTTGGGCACCTCTCCTATAAACAGAGGTTATGAGAGCAATCCACCTTCTTGAAAGACTTATATACAATTGATGTCGGTTTTTTTTTTTCATTTTTAAACAATCCGTACTATATGTAGACTTCTCTTTACTGGAATCACTCAAAATTGGAAGACCCATCTCAATGCTAGTCGATAACTTTAGCAATACCCATTTGAGAAAATGGAGAAAGAAGGGAAGATACTCGAGATGATATTGATCAAAGAAAAATGAATTACGTTGCTACTCAAGAAGACCTCAATCAACTAGTTCAGGACGAGGCATTGTCTCTTCCTGCCAAGCCCAATCATTGCTCAACAAGATGAAAATTTTGGGCATTTGCTAGTTTTAATTTTAACTCTGTAGTCTTTACCAGCACAAACGACGTCAATTTACTGTATTTCAAACATGCATCTATTTCCAAGTAGAAAAGCCACAACATCAAGGACTCTGGACAAGGTGGATCACAGCAACATAACCAATGCATACACATAAACGATTTGCAAATAAGAAACAGAAAAAAAATGTAGAAGTTAAAAAATGGGACCAATAAAGCCTAGGGAAGCAAGTGAATGGCGACAACAACTTACGTTCAAGGTACGTGCAGGCGTCAATAACTCTGGAATGAGGATATAAATCGGGGGGGGGGGGGGGGGGGGGGGGGGAAGCAGTTGAGTTGAAAGCGTACCATGGTTTCCGGATAATAACCAAAATCGCCGGCGTCGTAGGCCATTTTCGTTTGCTACAGATCGAAGCCTCAGGAATTTGTTGCGTAAGTGGACTGTGAAGTCCAGCCCGGATGTGATGTGACATCAGGGGAAGATGATAAGGACGCCGAGCGTGGCCTTGCATAGGGGTCGACCGGCACCGTTCGACTGAGCAAATTTTTAACCGGCAATATCCAGATGCGGTTCTCTTCGCCACAGTGTAGCGCACTGATTCAATGGAGATGGAAGGTAATGGGGGATTGGGTTTTTGCAGGGAAGGAGGCCGGTATGTTATTATTGAAGGGCAAATGCGTAAAATGAAATAGGAAATAAGGGTGTTGGCGTCAATTTGGTCTATATGTTGTGTGTGCAATTAATAATTCAACCATGTGCCTGCTGAGTTTGTCAAAAGTTAGAATCAGATAAATGTGACTTGGTGGTCAAAAAGTTTGAAAAAATAAATGAACCGAAAATGTAATGGGGCTCAGACAGAGGTTTTATATCTCAGTAGTAACAAATTATTATAATAGAAAGTCAAAATTTTAAGATCTTAACAATATCAATTAAGAACAATGTGAAATTTTATATAATTATTAAGGTCCTCAAATTTAATAATTACCTATGAGGTTCCTATACTAAAGGTTCAAAACCTTATTTCCCATCAATTGGTTTCAGCAATCAACTCCATTAATACATTTGATTTTACAATATCCAATTTTTATGCATTTCCAAATATTTAAAACATTTCAGAATTGGCAATCATGCAAAACCTTTTTAAAGATGAATTGTACATTTAAATAATTATGTCAATGCATTGAAAATATTAAAATATAACTTCTCTTTACTAATATTCAAAAAATACATCAAGATATGTAACTTTCATAGAAAAATATTCAACGTCACCAAATTAAATAGGATAATGTAAGACAAGTAGTCCTCAAAAAATTTCACCTGTTAATTTTTTTTTAAAAAATATACAATTGTTAGAGTTTTTGGTGTGGGGGGGGGGGACGTTGGGGGGGGGGGGGGGGGGGGGGACTAGCAATTATCATGGCCAATAAATAAAATACATCAGTTACAAAGGTCATCAATAAATTATACAGTTTAAGAATTGATTACAACCATTGTAATACGAGAACATTGAAGTTTCCTATTCTCTACTAAAGCCAAAACATAAAATATAAAATAAAGGCATAATTATTACTAACGAAATACCAGGTTAAACCAGCCGGTTACCGTTAAGCAGAAAATAAAGATTGGTTTTCTCACTTTTTAAGGTTTAGATCTTAAACCCAAAAAAATAAAATAAAATAACAACAACAACAACAACAATAATAACTGAGAGAAAAAGTTAATTTACACAAAAATCACATTACACAAACTTGTGTACGTCAACGGTGCATTGATTGTTTTTTCAACTCCCCCCATCACCCCAACAACACCCAACCCCCTTTGTGTATAAATGATTTTCCTTATTTTTGTCTTAATTTTCGATATTATAATGGGAAGTCAAATGAAATTGAAATATTGCATTTTTATTATCATTTCGAAGTACTCACGACCTACTTTTTACGCGTTATTAACAGCGTACAAAATGGTCATCCATAACAACAGTTACGACACGTCAAATTATGTTGTTCTAAACTAGTATTTTGAAAATTTCGATAATATGCTAACTTTAAAATATGATGACGACCGTACACTGGTCGAATCCAGAAATCATCTACGTCATCTTGAAGTTAGTTCCGATAATTATATAACATATTGAATAATTCAAATGGACATCATTTGAACATAAAAAATAATTAAACGAGCGTAAAAAAAAGAGACATCTAATTCGTATTTTCTTTAAGAATTTTCAATTATTTCATTAACGTTTATTATTTTTGCGCGACATATTTCTCAATGTAATAAATATCATTTTATTAGGATATTTTTACATGGGGTATGATATCAAAAATTTATGGATCGTTGGACAAAATTTAATAAATTAATATTGAATAATGTTCAAGTTCAAATTATTTTTTTCTTTTTACTCCACAATTTTTTTTATTAATTTGTTTATTCATCCTTTACATACCTAACATAAGGATACCGTTTGGACATCGAAATTAATCCTTATTTAATGTGGATTAAAAATATGTTCAAATGATGTCCAAACAAAATTGTTGACACATAAAAATTCAGCCCAAATCGAACGGCCCAAGGAGTGAAGCCCAATTGGAGGATCCCCAAATTAGATAGCCCAAAGAACGAAGCCCAATCAAACAAATCAAGATGAAGGCCCAAATAGGGAGGCCCAAGAACGTGGTAACGCCATCGCCCAAATTTACAAGTCGCCCAGAATCTGAGCGAATGGTGTGCCATACAGTCGCCCAGAGCTGTTGCTCTATTCTCGTCCAAACCTTCAAGTCGCCCAAGGTCTTAACAAACATAAAGCGTTGTATTTATCAAGAAGTGCAGTTATCAAAACAGTTATTAAAACAGCCCTATCACGTTCCACGATTCAAGGAATTCAATCGAAAGCGGTTGAACGACGAAGAGTAATGATAGCAGTTAAAAAGGCAGTTTTCATGACAAGTTGGCCATTACGAGGAAAGTGAGCAGGACGATCAAGCGGCTTTTAGGCGGTTGATCACAAAGAGATCGTCTATGAAGTATAAAAGGGAGAAAAAACATAGGGCAAAGGACGGAATCAAAAACTCTCAAACAGAGAACATATAATTTTAATTTTCTTAGCTTAGATTTAAACACTTTTCTTTCAGTAATTCGTGTGCTTGCGCCCCTTGGAGGCACATTGTTTTTAATTTCCAATTGTAAAGTCATCGCCAATAAAAGAACACCCCTTTTTGGGACTTTGTCTCAAGAGGTTTGTCCCTTACACAATCGTCTGATCCCTTTTAATTGTTAGCGACTAACCCGCGCGAAATAATTTGGCACGCCCAGTGGGACCGTGGTGTTTGGTGTTGAAAGTACAAAAGGTGAAACAATATGCCTCAGAGATCCGATAAGGAAGCAGCAAGTCAGGGAGGAATCTAGTCTGTGATCAAGCGATATGAGGAGCAGCATGCCTCTCCACGAACAGATGGACGGAATCAGAGCAGTAACAGTCGTTACGAACCAATGACGGAGTTGAGTCCTCGAACCATGCGTGCATTACTTGGAGAA